AGTAAAAGGAAATAAGCAACATTTAGATGAAGAAATAGTACAAACTATACATGCATATTTCTCTACGAACTTTGGCTATCAGGTTATCCCTTAAGCTCATTTGGTAGAGCACTGGACTGGCAAGCCAGAGGCCCCGGCTTCAACCCCAATTCAGCAGAGACACTTAATTGTCTCTGTTACACCATCAAAGTAGTTATCTTAAAAAAGTTCGAGCCTTACCTACCCCTCCCCGGGCATTAAAAGTCTATACAATACACAGTATAAAAAGAAGTGTTGTCATACGTTTTAAATACCTGAATTTTTAAAGAGTGCGACATGTATTACTATTTTGTTTTTATCTACAGGATACCACTTTTCTTTTACCACGTTTACTATATGTATTTACATGTTTTAGTTTCGAATGCTTTAAAACGGGAAAAAAGTGTGCAGAATGATATTTCTTGTTAATCTTTAAACATTTGATTAATTTTTCCTGGTCCTCCATTTCCTGTTTCATATTTATGGTTAAATCATTGAAAAGAAATATGTTTAGAATTATTTTGTAACTAAATGCATTTGCATACTTTTCTGTGAATTAGAATGTAACACCCACCCCTATCCAATTATATATTTTTTTTGAATACGGTTTTAAAATATACTACAATTTATTTTCATGTATGAAGTTGATCATGAATTAATTTTGACAGATCATTGTATATTACTACTAAGTCGAAAACGTACTGATATTCCCATTTTTACTTAGAAAATTACTGACAATATTAACTCCCTGACTTTCTTTAATATTAATTGAAAGAAGTAAACTGTTAGGTTAGATGTGTTTTATTCATTAAATTTCATTTATTTAAATTAGTTTGAATAATTTTAATAAACCCATAGCGCGCGTTGAGACCGTGGGAACGCCCTTTTGAGGAAAGGCGTTTGTTATAGTTTTCGTATTTTATAAAATTTTAAATTATGTGGAGGCCGCCCAAATTTGTTCTTGTGCAGTCTAACATATCCGAATTCAAGCATTTGCAAGAAGAAACAAAAATTAAAAGACAGACGGGAGATTTAAATTTAAAAAAAAAAGATGACTTTTTATTTTATTTATTGGGCAGGGGGAGGGGGCTACGGGCCTGCATTGATCATTGATCCTTTGACATTCATGATTGATTAGTTACTGTCCGGATTATTCTTTTTAGTACATCGTTTAGCTGATTTTCGTATCTGGATTTTCTGTATCCCCACCTGAAAGTGTCATTTTAAATCAAATACATGTAAAACTATGACATTTTATATTATCATATTATCATCAGTTGTCTATGCATACTCTAGAAACGGGACTTTGATATAAATTAAAATCAATGTTCTTTTCAAATAGAGTGTCGGTAGACGTTCACATGGATCTCGTTTAGAATTTTCAAATTTAAATGGAGGGGGGGGGGGGGGCACGTGCCAACTAAATGTAGAACGATGTACTAAGGTACAACACACAATACTGTCGTGTTTAAGTTTGTACCCTTTTTATATCTGTTTAGGTAAAAAAACCAAATAAATTTAATTAACTTAAATAATCGACGTTTCATAGCTTCGTTCGGTATCTTAACCAGTATCATGACTTTACAGTGACACGGTGCTTTTTATTCGCACAAAATGATTCAAGTCTTTTAGCTGGTATCCAGCAGAATTACATAATCTTTCAACATACAATCGGAAATTCTGTGAAGCACCTGTGTGTACGGTAGCGGATAAAGAAGACAATAGTTGTCACTGCAGCATTATAAAGAAGAACACTCGCCGGATTTCACTGGAAGTTAGTTAGGCAACATTACGGCGACGGGTAAACTCTTCTTCAACACAGTTTGATTTTGAGAAATTCAACACCAAAAAACAACAAATATCAACAACAAATACGTAATACAAATATGCAATCTACAATAATTCAACCTCTTCTTAGATTAAATAAATTATTTTTCTTTTTTAAATAACCCGACGTACTAAGATAAAATTAACAATTAATGAAAAAGGAGAATTCATGATCTAAAAACCAACCGGGGAAAGGAACTTTTTAAAAATTTGAGCAAAAATATATGAAAAGGGGTACATTACATCCAAAGTTTTGTAATAATTACTGGTTCTTAATATTTTTTGTTAAGTCGTGTTAGTGTGTGTGTGGGACAGTGAAGTGAGGGAACAATATTGATTGTGTTTTCATTCGTTTGATTATCAAATCAAATAAATACTTCATAGTGTATTTTTGAAACATTTTATCAGTAATTAAGAATAATTAAAAATTAAAAACAATTTATATGCAGCAATATGATAACAATAAAAAAAAAATAAGCCGGAGTTTAACTATATCTCAAACTTTGCCTGGGTCGATATTGATTTTTTGGGGAGAGAGAAAGAGAGAGAGAGAGAGAGAGATGACTGGCAACTCGACACGGAAGATAGTGGGCACCTATATTTAGTGAATAATAATCTTAATTTTATGAAAAAGAATGATGTAAATGAAACCTGAATCAAATAAATAATTATAACGGGTATACATTGATCAAATGGACAAGGAAATTTGCATCATTAAAAAAAACACATATCCATAAATCCTTTTCAAGTGTACAAGATATTTTTTTCATGTAACGTGAGTGTAGGGGTGGGATGGTTATACATGTATGCTAGAGGGTTCGAAATTAATATTTGTGAGCACTGGTCTGACGGACTAATCACTTTCAATTTTCACTTCTTCGTAAAATTTTACTAGAAAAGTCCGCTTTCTGCCTTATTATTATTTTAACATCATAACACCCCCTACGCCTACCTACTTTAATTAGATGAAATTTAATTTCGGCACATAAATTAATTCCAATCCAATTCACAGATAGCTACAAGGGGGAAAATGGAAGGTATGAAACATGTAATATTTTCGTTTAATTTGAATCATGATTAAAAATATACTTAAAGATTAAGATTAAAAACTAAATAGTGATCTAACCCCCAATCCCCCGGAATATTCGGAGCACAAGCGATTTAAAGTGTCTATACTGATTGTATCTTTGAGAGAGAGAGAGAGAGAGAGAGAGAGAGAATATATTGGAGAAAAATGGTGCTACTGCTAATATTAGTCTTACCGCTGACCTAGTAAACATAAATGTTTTCTGTAAGATAACTATAATTGCTAGTACATGAATTTTTATTGCTCGTTTGATTAGATATTTATTAATCTCGGACTTACAGACATTAGGTACTTATGAACCCTGCGTAAGCGATCAACCTTTCTTTTAGATATACATGTAATGATTTCAGTGACAAAATTAACAAGGCATAGTACAAGTTTATCTATGGAACACTGTACTGTTCAAATGGGGAACTTCCGTAGGGGCAAATGAAACCGGAATTCCTAAACAGGAGTATACAAATAATATGAATTGTACAGATGTCCGAGAACGTACATTAGGAAACTGAATTACCTATCAGTAGTTATTCAAAATTTAGAAGATTTCCCTTTTTAACAAGAGACATCTGTCCTGTTTGTGAAAAGAAAATGAATTAATACAAATTTTCGGTCGTGAAAACAGGAAATAAAACCCTACATTAATGTATGTCTGCAAAGAGCTAAATAGATGAAAACTTACTTGATGATTAATTAATTTTTATTTTTTCATTGAACAGGGATAGGTATATTCAACACATAGATTTAAACTTAATTTACACATGGTTAATTTCAAATCATATTCTGAATTATTTTACAGACCTAAAAAAAAGGACCTACCTACCGACGCAATTTTTTTTAAACTGAATAAAGAAAAGGCAAACAAACTTCATTTTAAAAACGGTCATACGGGAATTTTTAAAGCACCACTGTACACCTTTAAAAAATATACATTTATTAATTGTGAAAAGGATCTAGGTCACACAGACACTTGAAAGAGAATAACTTCTAAAAGAATAAACTACATCAACCCACACCCAACAATCTTTCTAAGCATATAAATAAAACAATATCCCCTTGTTCTGGGGAGAGTTTTTCTTGAGGAGACATTTTTACGTCGCTTTTAACTTGTTGACTTTAGACCCGTCTTTTGACGTTACGTCTTAATAGAGATAAGGGAGGTTTTTGCTTGACGCGTCACATATACATCTTACAATCGCTGTGTTTATCCTTCGGGTAAGTTACAATTAACGGTAAAAGCCAATACAACAGCTTCTGTTCAATGTGAGATTGAATTTTGATCTCCATATATGACATTGCACTAAATCGGCTTTCAACGTTTTTATGTCAAAGTAGAACGCATATCTGCACCTATTAAGCCCCTGTTCACGTATGGAGTTTTGAATGTCCAACTTTCATCAAACTTTACAACCCAAATACATGTGATGTCTCAGCCATTTCAAAATTTTGAACGCACATCATTTTTATAATAATTTTAGCTTTTACACGAACTTTATGGACAATGCTTGTACGTGATCTTACCCCCCCCCCCCCCCCTTATGAAAGAAAAATATATTTGATGACAATTCGCCTCTGTTATATACTAATTTTAAAACTGGTAAGCATATTTAAGTTTGGACATATCAAATCAAATATCTACTTTCTTAAGTGTGAACTTCATGTCTTTGTGCAGCTAAAATATAATAAGGGGGCGGGGGATGGAGAAATTAAATAGAAATTTATGTGTATGCTAACTTCTGATGAAATCATATAATTAAATTTTCAGAATAGGTCAGAATTCTTTTTTCTTTAAGAATAATGGTTAGAAGGATATTATTGATGGATAGGCATATCCATTTTGTCTTAGCCCAAATGTACCACTGATTTCTCTTTTTTAAACTTCATAAAAAAATTCTAGGCTGTTAGACAATACCCTATTTCAGCAGTATGAACAAATCTTCGTTATTCAAAGGGGGAAATTGCCTTAGAAAATCGTTTCGGGGAAACTACTTTATTGTTTCAGTTGTCCTTATTTATTGGAATAAAAAAAGATGCCTTGTTCAGAAACAAGCAAAGCTAGGTATGGACTTACTTATACAGTCAGGTGGTTCCAATAACCAGTTGCTACACCCATATATACAGGATCCATTAAAAGCATCACAAACCTGATTCCAGCATTCTAGTGGACAGGATTTGCAGTTTTCTCCATATTGTTGAAAATCACATCCTGTAGAAATGTGACAAACTTTCTTCGATAAATAAAATTAAAGAAAAGAAAATGTTATAAAGAAACATATACATTTATGTACAACTGATGTCAATATGTGAAACATATCCGATGCAAAAACTATTATTATTTCTTAAATGTATTACGTACCCATAACTTTCACTTCGCAAATTTCGATGGTAGCAAATGAAGGTTCATAGCCTTCACATCTTGTATTAAGCGGGGGGTCCTTTGAATTAAAAATAGCGATTCCTTTGGTTACCCTGTTGACGGTCGCATTCATCACTTGTTCTACACAGACAGACGGGTCCTGTGTATACACATTATATCCTCCTGTGGCTTGTGGGATATATGTTGACTCATTGAATGTCCACACACTGAATCCTATATGACGATTTAGAGCTGAAAAGTAAACAAAATTTAATAAAAAATTTTCAATCACTGTATGCTGTATGAAGTGTTTGATATAATTGATATTCATTGGGGATTGATTGTTGATAATAAAGATAACTAGCATGGTTTTATAGTGACACAGTTATAACCGTATTTGAAACACAATCCAAAACAAAAAGGGAAAATCAAAATTCCCTTTTTTTCACCCATGGTTTACAATCTGAAGTCATTTTGGTCTTTAAATCCTTATTTGTGTCTCCACAAGTTCCTTTTTTGAAGATTTTTCTTAAGTATTTGAGGAACGTTCCTCTTTATACACTTCAGATGCATTTGTTATGACCAGAGATTTGAGGAACGTTCCTCTTTCTACACTTCTGGTGCATTTGTTATCACCAAACATTTGAGGAACCTTCCTCTCACTCTCTCTCCCTGAACTTCAGATTCATTTAGTATGACCAGAGATTTGAGGAACGTTCCTCTCTCTTAACTTCAGATGCATTTGTTATGACCAGACATTTGAGGAACGTTCCTCTCTCTGAACTTCAGATGCATTTGTTATGACCAGACATTTGAGGAACATTCCTCTCTCTAAACTAAGATGAATTTATTATCACCAGACATTTGAGTAACGTTCCTCTCTTACATGTGCACATACAGCGTGTATTTTTAAATACTTTAAGAATCTTAACACATGAGACATTTGAGGAACGTTCCTCTCTCAAATTCACTTTTTCTGAAGACATCTCATGAATGGTCAAACATCAGGCATTTGAGGAACGTTCCTCGCTCGAATTTAATTATTACTGTAGGCATCTCAAGGATTGTCAAATATCAGGCATTTGAGGAACGTTCCTCTCACAAATGGTTGTCTCATGAATTGTCAAACATTAGGCATTTCAGGAACGTTCCTCACTAAAATTTAACATTGTTCACACAGGATACTTACATGTATGAGAAACGTTCCTCTCTCAGATTTGTATATGTTGATACCTTATTCATATTAAATCATGCATTTGAGGAACGTTCCTCTCACAAATGGTTGTATTTCTGTTGATTACTTATACCTCATGAAGCTTGCAACCCGTGCATTTGAGGAACGTTCCTCTGTCTTGTAATGAATATCTGTTGATACATTGCAAAGCCCACTTAAAAATATCTTTAAAGGAACGTTCCTCTCTAACATTATCATGTGTTTTGTGATATTATATTAGTTTTTATCGTACATGAAGAATTTGGGAAAATTTCTCTCTTTTATATGAAATGCAGTACATATTCATAGAAACATTTTTTATCTGTACACACTCTACAAAATATATATGAAAAATCATTTTGTCATTTTATAAATTAAGGCTTTCTTAAAGCATAATATAAACTAGGTACAGGAACAAACAAATTTTTCCACTTCGGAACAAGCATGTGCAATGTGCAGTGTTCATGTATCAACTCAAAGGGCTTTTTCACTGAATGGCAGTGTGATCACATATTACAATGTCTTGGTTAACAGGTTAATACCCACAGTATTTTTCCTTTCTACCACGAAATTAAACCAAAGTTGTGATGAAGGTCAACCATGTTTCTCTCTCAGTTACATCTTTCCCTCATAATAGAGACGATTCCAATTCCTTGGTCTCCAAAGGTTCATAGCATTTTTTCATCAGTCAAAGTAAAACAGCCTCAACAAGTTTCTTGGGTGTCATCTTCTGTAGGAAAAATCTCACATTCAGTACAGCGGCATGTCGTATTATCAAAGATGTGATTCAGGCAAAGTTAGAATAATCGAAACAATGTGTACATAATAACAAGTTTTGATGTATCATCTAAAAATTAAATAGACTGGAAAAATCGATATAAAAAAAATTGCAAAACTTAAATTAAAATTTTGAACTTTAAATTGCCCATGAATTATGAAAGCATTTCCATACTGTATTAAGAATATTGCAAAATTGACACTTTCTATCTTTCTCATACTATTTTAATGAAATACTGTAAATGTTTTATATTTAGAGTGTACTATATTTGGCGGAAGTTGATATTTTAATAAGTTAGCGTAGGTATGATTTAGCGCATTTTAATGTTTTATGTTTAAGTCATTTAGTGTTGTACTTAAATTAGCGGATGTTTCTTTCCGCCAAAAAGCTAAAAAGAATACACCGCCAAATGTTACACGTTTACAGTAATAACTCTGATTTGCAAATTATGTCTGAGAAAAATCATTCTCCTTTATATCTTGCATGTAACACTAATTTAAAAACTAAGTGACAATTGGAAATGTAAATTATAATAATATATAGGTCTTAAGCTCCATACTCCTCCAATGAACATTTAATATACATGTATGATAATATAAGTCATCAATTTTTTAAATTTATTTCTCTTTTTCCATAGTGCATGCAGGTGTCATATAATATTTCATGGGTTTTATTAATGTATTCTTTAATTTACACGAACCTATTTTCATTCTGAATCTCAATTTGTATTATATTGCAGTACTAATTTCTTAAAACTGAAGAACTGATTCTATAATAGGGATTTGTCTTGTAACCCTAATTCCTGCATCATTCTCTACTTTAAAGATAAAGACTTGATGTCTTCCTGGCCCCAGCTCACATTGTAATTGTTGTCGTTTACTGATTTTTATTTGAAAATTAAAATAAGTACACGACTATAACTTAAAAATTGTAAAACAAACTGCCATATAGTGGACAATTATAATTTGTCAAAAAGCGGCATTTGGTTTCCCGTGTAAATAAAATGCTAAAATGATAATAATGGTATCACAAGCCTAAAACATAACTTTAAATTTTGAATTTTTACAAATAAATATAAAAATAATAATTTAACATTGAACCTTATTTTACATTAAACAATAGTGTAATTCAATTAACATTTGTATTATATTGTAAAAATAAAAAGTACTATTGTGTATTTCTTAAAACTGATAATAAAAAGAATTTTGATTCTATAATAGGGATTTGTCTATATGGCATAAAAGTTATACAATACTGGTGCGTTTGGTACCGTGGCCAGGGGCTACATAACACATATTAAAAATCTTAACACAAAGGATCAATCATGATTTAGTCCCTTGAGATAAAAATTAATTTACAGGTACAACTGTGAATCCTGAAACCAGGTTGTAAATAATCAACTGACTAGGAACCCTATATTCCTGCATTAAAAATTCTCTACTTTAAAGATAAAGACTTGATATCTTCCTGGCCCCAGCTCACATTGTAATTGTTATTAATCACTGCCAATCATATATGCTCATGGAACACTAGCTATAGGCGATCAGCTCTGGCAACTATCTGTCCCCTGTGACTTCATGGACAGTAAAGATCAGTGCTGATGCTATGATGACTTGATCGTGTTATAGATAAACATGTCTCTGCAGTCAGAAGATTGAAGCAATTTACATTGTAGAACAGAACTCAAACAGTGAGAGAATTAAGATCTTGTTAGAGTTTTAAATTTTACTCCTTAAAATTTGGATAGTTTCAATATATTTAAAAAACAAAAAATGTAATGAAACTTATATACGCTGTAAAACTTTACTAATTATTCTAGTTCGGGAATAACAAATCTCAGGCTAAAATCTGGTTTCTACATATTAAATGCAAAGAAACATTCCACAGAATTATTTTGTAAAAAAAAAATAATAATAATGTGAAAACAACATCTCCTGCACTTAGTCAGATCTTAAGGAAGCAGAAATAAGAAGCTATATTTCCAAAAAAAAAAAAAAAAAAACCCTTAAAAAATGTTTTATTGATTTAGAATATTTTATTAAATTATTAGCACATGTATTAAAAGAAATTTTGTACTGAGTAATACAGTTCTACAATTTTTTATTTTTATTGATTGGCAATTGCTCATCTTCCTTCCTTTTTTTCAAAGTTAGATACTTTGATTATGAAACTATCTTTGATTTAATTGTTAATTTCAGAAACATGCACTCTGAATTTCACAGATTTCCTATATCTTGGATTGCAGTGTGGGTCATTTGGGATTTAATAATTTAGCCAGCTGCAGCAAGGTCAAAAGTCTATGTTATCTGTAAAACTCGAGGTCAATTTATATAACCCCGGTCTTATCTGCTTTCATTATGTAGAAATAATTTAAGAAGATTTTCTTCAACTCTTTGAAATTACATTCACCAACACTGGAACACTGAGTTTCTAAGAATAAGAATTTCATTGGTGTACATATCAGGCATGTGTTATAAAAATGAACCTTTCTTATGAAACTGAATAGTGCATTTTTTCTCCGCTTTAACCTAATAAATAAATAAAACAAAATTACGGCTATATGCATAAAATGATGGAAGTATCAACTAGTGAAACCGTTACTCGTATTTTTAGTAATACTATTTTTCTTTTATCAGGAACCGGACACTGAGTACACAAGACATGATCTGCCGATCGATAATACATATAAAATGTTTAACTAATATACAATTTTTTAAGATCTGAATTATAAATACTTATTTATAATTAGATAATGCATATACTTAAGTTATTGTTAAAGTATTAAACTACATGTAATCCTTAACAATAGGTGTATGTAGGAATATAAACAAGATGCCCCCTTTGGATTTTTTTTTAGAATAAAATATATTTTTCAGTGGGATAGTGATGATTGACAACTAAAAGAAACTTCATATTCACTCTATTTTGGACTGCATTCCACTTTGATTAATATTAAAAATCTGTTAAAACAATTAATGCAATACATAAAATGTGAGTTTGTAATAAATTATTTATTTATTTTTTTTTTTTAGAAAAGATTAATATATAGAATGACAAAAAAACCCTTTAAGATAAAGGTTTTGTTATATATGTTTCTTTAAATTGTATATGTGTACTTAAGCTTTGATCATAATCCTTGCAGTTGACAACACAACAAAATATGCCTAGAATTTTTATAAAAATAGAAAAAAAATTCCCGGTAAATTGTTTCAAAAAAGTGTATAAATCTTTTATAATTAGTTTTTTTTTTTAAATTTTATCCTTATTGTTCTAACCGCAGCATATAGTTTAAAAGGATACAATATTGAGTATAATAATTTATTGAATTTGTGTCTTTTTTTCCATAATATTTCAAGATAACCAATTTATAGTAAAATTTTAACATGTTTTTTTAGCAGGGTATGATATCAGACAAGGTCACTATATTGCTAGCAAAGAAAAACACATGATTTTAATATATTAAGTACTCCTGTTCATACACACAAGTAAAAGAGCTAACAATATCTTGGGAAAGAATAAACATTTGACCAGTGACCACTTAGTGAAGCCGACGAAGCGATAATTGTCTCAGAGTTTAAGATTTCAGCATTGGCTATACATAAACAAACTATACGGCTCTGTTTCATCTAAACACATTAATTCTTTGACACACTAGATTATTCCTTTGAGCCTCGTTGAATGTGTTCTGCTCTGCTCTAAAACCATCAGAATTAACAGTGCTGAGCATCTAGTCAAGCACGGATGATTTTTGGATTGAACTAGGTGAAACACAGCTATTGTTCTCTTTATCAAATCAATTAATGTTTTATTAAAAAAAAGTAAATAAGACACTGACTTGGCATATAAAATATACCTGAGGTCTGTCCAAAACTTTAATTCAAAATAGAGTGCACGTCTCTTATCAATAATGTATAGTTAATACATGGACATGTTAAATCATGCCAGTTTACAAATTAAAAATATACCCGGTAATACAAATTAAAAACACTACATAAATATGTATATTTTGCATATTTTTAGAAAGTATATAGGATACGTTCAGTGGCAAGGGGGGGGTAATTTTTTAAGGAGCAAATTCTCAATCAAAATTTCCTGTGTTAGGAAGCCAAAAAAATTAGTATGGGCATGGACCCCACCCATCCCCACACCCACCCCCCAAAAAATAAATAAATAAATTGAGATAAGTAAATGATGAATAATAAAATAAAAAATTAACAAAATACAGTAAAACATGATTTTTGCCAACACACTTATGTTGAATTGAGTTACAGCGAAGTGCTTTTATTCCCTGTGACTTAATTATGTATTTTTATCTTCATAACGAATTTCGCTCATAATAATGCAAAATCATCCGTCGATCCCTGGCACTGCTTTTTAAACATGTTTTACTTGTATTCAATATAATTAATCTATTTCCTGCCATGTACAGCATTTGAAAACATATATTATATAGGAATTCATAGAATTTCTAATTTTCCCAACTAATAATGAAAATTATGACTACGGTACTTACTTGATTTGTTTACGACACTTTAATCATTTCTCTGAAATGTTGCTGCAAGTGGTGTCATGAGGGTATTCGTTTTCTTTTACATTGAAATCCAGGGCATATCATTTTGTCTAAAATTAAAGTAAATTTCTCATTTTAATTTACTGGTATTTGGAAGTGTCTGACAGCTTATATTTCAGCAGGATTGATCAACTCTGACTAAGTTATTGATAAAATATTTTAGTTTAGTTTTTATGCAAACAAAGCATACAAAGAATTTTCATAAATTGATAATAATATTATTTGCATATATACCTTAATAAATCCTTAACTGTGAAGAACTGCAACATCCTGTTTTATTCAACAATCTTTCGATGTGATAATCATCTTCTGATTTGAAATCGTGAACATTTTGGTAGGGTTGAGAGATGGATGTGTCCAAGACTGATAACACACCCAAGATTATCAGTGTGCAGTGTTTTGATTGACATTTCTTCAGTTAGTGGCACCACATGTTTCCATTCAAATATGTATGGAAGGGTCGCAGTTGCACATGTGAACAGCTATCATTTAAATGCAACTGTCGTTTGAAGGGGAATTCGAAATTGGAGAAATTAGACATTGATATATCTGTGTGTTATACTGTGTTATACTGTGATAAAGTTATATAATTAGTTTTGGTCAAAAAACTGCGTGATGAAGTAAGTAGAGACACATGCATGATTTTCAAATGTCAATGGATGTTCAACTTATAGAGAATTTACTGGTCAATGCACTGACTTTTCATAAATTAATCTTGGATGAACTATACTAAAAAAGCTAAGGGTAAGATTCTTTTCCTGAAAGATTTTTTCATTTAATAAATATCATAAAATTTCAATTGTTAAAGAAAATTGTTTAATTTAGTGTAAGAAAGCATTGCTGTATACAACAGTTTTATATCATAATAGTAAATGCAGGGGATCAGGGGAATGGTATAACTTTTTTGATCAATTCCTTGTTGTAGATTTATGTCTCTTGCACGATTCAAACAGTTGCCCTTTTTTCTCATTTAAAATGTAAATAAACATTTACTCTTTATTCAGCATTAGATATACATTCCTATATGATATCCAGAGAAGTGACTTCAAAATAAAATGTGATCATGTATACTCCTAAAGGAGTGGTACCAACGAGTTTAATGTCTGTAATAATAAGAGGCTTTTCACAAAATTGAGTGAAAAATGATTTCCTAAAATATTAATTGTCAAGAATGACACGTACTTGATCTTGTGATCGAGTTATGACCCCCAAATTAAAAGTTGTCATATATTTCTTAGGAGGACTACAGATCTAGTGCATTAAATTATTTTTCAAACAGTAGAATCTCAAGTTACTTCAATATTGAGTAAACAATACTTTTCTATTTCTAGATCAGTTTGAGCCTTGTGCTTTCACCTTGTAACCCAAAATCAGTAGGGGTCTTTATTCCTTTGGGAGTACCAGTATACTAAGTTTGATGTCTGTAAAGCAAAGGGTTCCCAAAATTTTAAGCATATATTATTTTTCTGTGTCAGAATAGTCTCAACCTTGAAATTTGACTTTATGAAATCAACAGGATTATCTACTCTTTTACGTTAGGGAGTACCTGGGTGTACAGCTTTCTTCAAATCCAATTATACTCTGATTTATATATATAGTTATATAATAACATTTGAAATCAGAAGAGGAGTATTCGACATGAATCCATTGTCAACAGTTGGAAGAGGAATGTTTGTCCAGTCCAGTGTCAAATTTTGAAATGGGGAGAAGAACATTCATTGTATTAAGATTCATGGTAGTAGTGTTTTGATAGGAATTGGTAGAGGAATGTTCCTCAAATGTACTGTTTATATACATGTAGTATGTATTATCAATTGAAATTGACTGATGAACGTTTGTGATATTGTGTGTTAAAACTTGTAAATACAGTGTCAAGTTGAAAGAGGAACGTTCCTCCAGTGTATATAGTATCAATATTTGAAATTGGATGAGGAACGTTCCTCAAATATGTTGTGTTTAGACTAGTAAATCCAGTGTCAATAGTTTGAAGAGGAACGTTCCTCCAGTGTACATGGTGTATATAGTATCAATATTTGAAATTGGAAGAGGACCGTTCCTCTAATGCCTAATATTTGAAAATTTATGAGATGCCTACGGTAATAAGTAAATTTGAGAGATGAATGTTCCTCAAATGCCTGATGTGTTCATTCATAAGGTATTTAAAAATACACACTGTATGTGCACATCTGTGTAAGAGAGGAACGTTACTCAAATGTCTGGTGATAATAAATGCATCTTAGTTTAGAGAGGGGAATGTTCCTCAAATGTCTGTTCATAACAAATGCATCAGAAGTACAGAGAGAGGAACGTTCCTCAAATCTCTGGTCAGAACAAATGCATCTGAAGTTCGAGAGAGGAACGTTCCTCAAAAGTTTGGTCATAACAAATGCACCAGAAGTTCAGAGAGAGGAACGTTCCTCAAATCTCTGGTCATAACAAATGCATCTGAAGTGTAGAAAGAGGAATGTTCCTCAAAAGTCTAGTCATAACAAATGCATCTGAAGTTCAGAGAGAGGAACGTTCTTCAAATCTCTGGTCATAACAAATGCATCTGAAGTGTAGAAAGAGGAACGTTCCTCAAAAGTCTGGTCATAACAAATGCATCTGAAGTGTAGAAAGAGGAACGTTCCTCAAATACTTATAAAAAAATCTGAAGTTAGAAAAAACGTTCCTCAAATACTTAAAAAAATCTTCAGAAAGGGAACTTGTGGAGACACATATAAGGATTTTAAGACCAAAATGACTTCAGATTGTAAACGTTGGGTGAAAAAAAAGGAATTTTGATTTTCCCCTTTTGTTTTGGATTGTGTTCAGCCATTCATTTACAACGTGCAAGATGCCCTAAGAAACAATTGCAGCTTAATTTTTACGGTACAATAGGTTAATCAATATCGAGATCTGAGCAAAGGAGTTATTCTTTGCCATTTTAAAATGCTTGTGTTTCAAATGATTAGGTCGAATTTTTTCTAACTTAGTGGATTGAAGTAAGACTTAGACTTCCGGTCCAAGGATTATCATTGATGTAAATTAAACATAAGAAGCCGTCAATGTGTAATGTAGTGTATTTGTGCATCATCAACTTTCCATCACCTTTACTTTGAAGATTTTCCAGCTAGAGCAATGGAAATGCGTACTTAAGCCATTTTCAAAAAGCTTAAGTATCCTTAGGGGAATCGAACGATTTTTTTTTTGAAATATTGCTGCATTACGTAAGATGAACAGTACAAACCCTTAAAACTACATAATATTGCCAAATGTTTTCTTAAACATGACATTTTTGATTTCTGTTAAGCAGACTTAAACTTGACTTCCGGCTATTGTATGAAAATCGTTTAACCGTTAAATTACCGATATTTACCAAAGTGAAGATATCCATAATTTTATTATAGAAAATACTGTACTTTACATGATTATTTTTCCTTAAATAAGGGTGTTGCATTTCTTTTGCGATTCAGTATAAATTCAGATTTACTTAAAAACACCTTACTCATACTTTAACAAATAAGGTAATTATAAAAAAAATATATATACTAAAATGAAAATAAATATGATTTAGTGCATATTATGTTAAAAAGAAACACAAACAATTCTTTTCTTTCATTATTGTTCTGCATGTAAGTCAAGATCCAAAAAAATATACGATTTCCGTCAAAAGTTCTTAAGTAAAAGTTAAACACTATATGGTGACCAAACCTTTCCGATAATTTGACCATAAATAAGATTTGAAGTATTCATTGATTAATCTGATTTTTGACTTATTACTAATTAATATGCAGAAAAAAAGAATCTACTCAAACTAGAGAGTGAGTGTATATATGCTGTATTTTCATACTGTAATTTTTTTTAATTAGAAGAATGGCATAAACATGAACATAGTCTACATGTATTAATCAATTACTTTAAATATATGAATTACTTACCTAGACAAACAGTTGGAACAAAAGAGGCTAATAGAAAACTGATCAGAAGCAGTAAAAAGTTCATTTCCTTTAATGGCTTCCTTTGTGTATTCAAATTAACGTGTATGTTTTTGTAGTTATCTTTTTTTGCATAAACAACTATTTTATCTCTGAGTAAACATATTTATTTCCTTCTGTCATTCATGTTTAATGGTAAGCTTCAGGTCGTTAACAATCACTTCTATATACCTTAAACTTTTCAACAGAAAAATTACAAAGGTTATGGGGTTTGTTATCTAGTACAGCAAAATATACCTAAATAAGTAGAAGTACGAAGAATTCGTTAAAAATATATCAATTACTATTAGACATGAAAATGTACCAACCAGCTAGCTGAAGAAAAAATACTTCCTGTATATTTTACACATTGTTTAAACATTTGTTGTCCTTTCATTTGACATCTATTGCAGTTTTTGTTAAAATTCAAGGTTAACAATAATTTTACGTCCTTGTAAATGATGATACCAGTTTTTAAAATAGATTTAAAAAAAATATGATAACAAGCTAATTAATTATTGTTCCGGCTACACTTTTTCTTCAGCTTACATAGGCATCCTTCAGATACACATTACCCTGTGATGCAAAACCACACCTCTGATACACACACAAACGCACACCGACACACACACACACAGAGAGAGAGAGAGAGAGAGAGAGAGAGAGACACAGAGAGAGAGAGAGAGAGAGAATCCATATGGTACGAATGTAAAAAAAATCTCAACATACGAAATAAGGGAACAATTTGGCAAAACTCTGTAAGAAACTCTTTTGTGTGGTAACCAAAATGTTATTCTATTATTTAAGAAAAATGAAATAAAAGACCGAGCTTGACAAAATAAGTCTTACTACAATCATTTTCATCATGTTGAAGTAACGTAATGTAGTTTAATTTCTTTCATTAAGCTTGGTAATTAGTTTTCATGTTCTTCAGATAAATAAAAAACTTTGAAATGCATCACAACGGATATAAAATATTAAGTATTCTTTTCTATTTAGAATTCAACAATTCTTCTAAAACTTCCTTAAGAAGCTGGGTAAGCTCAACGGAAGTACACCAAGAATGTTTCACTTATAACGATTACGTCCGAGAGAGCGTTTTTTAGCTGACATAATAATCTCTCTCCAGTAATATCATGATCGTTAATATATTCTCCATACACTTCTTTTGCGTTTAGCTAACAATATTTTAACGCTTTGAGTAGAAAGCTTTTTCAGGAGAAATTTTGGATTCGAACGAGATGCAGAGTTAATCCGATAATAAGAAATAAGACATAAATGCTTGAAGTGAGAATATACATTTTATGTAAAATAATAAATAAATACATTTTTTAAAGTCATAAATACCAGTGGGGTACAACTTAAAAAAAAAAAACAGATTGTCATACCTTTCTCTCTTATAATGTATAGTGAGGTATTTTTGTGAAATGATTTTTTTTTTAGGGTTTTCATGCTTTTTTTCCCGCTATGGTGCACATGATGAATAAGGGTAATAAATATAACTTGTGAAAAAAGTTTAAGAAGCCCCAGAGTGAAAATGGACGGTGGGTGGGGGGTCATGTACACAAGTACTTGTGGGAAAGCAGAATCACAATCCCCTTCGCTTGCTTTAAAAAAATCCAGAGCATTACAGTAATATAACGTTTGATGTTCTAAATAATAAGCACTTTAATTTAATTTTTTTTCTGTTTGTTCTGACTTTGTACGTTTAATTTAGGACATCTTCAATTTTGCAATTTCAAATTAAAAGTAAAAAATAAACACCACATTACGCCTTATCAGCCTCATACGTGTCATTTACAGGAATGCCAGTCTGTGGACCGGAAGTCCAAAGGTCCAGTACTGCAGTAGGGTTGAGAAAATTTTAATTTTTTTTTTGTAACAACAAGCAATTAAATAACAAAGAACATTTATTTCCGTCATATAAAGAGATTAACTGACCGTATGTATCATAAAAGTCGAGCTGAAAATGCTTTGCATGCTCTATTTCCCTACTGTAATTGAAAATATTGGGAAGGGGAGGGGGTTAACAGTTATATATTTCGTTGTAGAATTTAAACATATTTTAACATTTTTATTTAAAAGTTTTGTTTTTTAAAATCAGGTTTTAACTTTACTTAAAGGTATCATTTTAAGCTTTTGAACATTTAACTAAAATTCCTTTGTCAATTGAAAATTCTGCAAATCCGGATCAATTTCGCATAAATGATATTTATTTATAGACATTTTTGAATGAAAAACTAGGCTTGCCTTCCATAAATATGGTTTTAGAAATAAAACAGGCAAAAACTGTATTCATGAAAAAACTATTTTTTTCATATTTAACAGACACTTGGAAAAAATTGTAAATTAAAATTTAATTTTATCGTGATATTTCATTTGCATTATTGAAATATTGAAGTTAATGTAGTTTATCTCAATACTTTTTTGATTCTGCTTCTCTTTGTTATCTACATGAACAATTTTATAGTGCAAGTAGGAAATGAAAACCTCAATAAAAGATTATCATGCATTTAAGTCGAATGAACGAATCAGCATTATATGTCAAACATGAATCCAGAGAAACTTTTGTGAAGACAAATCGGAGAAAATAAATCACAAATTAAATCAAGTTCTTCTGGCAATTTACTTCCGTTTCGAATTACTGATATTGTCTGGGACATTCTAGTTTTAAAGGCAAAGTTTATAAAAATTATGTCTTAGAGAGGACTTATTTCATCAGCAATAAATATGACATCTATTATAGTGTTTATAAGGCAGAGTTTATAAAAATTATGTCTTAGAGAGGACTTATTTCATCAACAATGAATATGACATCTATTATAGTGTTCTACTTACATTGAATTTATTTAAAAAAGAAAGAACCTTTTCCGACAAAAGACGTAACAAATTCTATGACATAATGGAGATAACGAACTGTATTCAACTCCAACAGTATATTAAACAATATGAAAGTGGAACAGTGCCAAAATAGCACCCCAGAAACTGAGAGGTGTCATCAGGTGCCACGAGGAAGTGAACATCCCAAACTAACAGGCCACATCTGCCATGTGCTCCATGTCATGATCGGAAAATAAAAAGGAAATATCCATCCACAAATAAGAGTGTAAAATTGATCCCGAGCTAAAATACAGACAAACTTAACATTTGCTCTCTAAAAATATAGAACAGTTCTAATGATAAGTCGAGTCTTCAAGTAGGTATTACAAATTGATATCATCATAGGTCTGGCAGTCATTTTTAATTCCAACTTGATTATAAAACTTGGGATTTTCGTCAAACTCTTTTCTATCTTCGTTTGGCTGATTTTTTCCACTTTGCATGGTTCTCGATAACCTCTTTTTGTATACAATTATAACCATTACGGTTATAATTGCTACAAAAACAAGTGTTGAAATAACTGATATAATTACAGATGAGGTCTTTGAACAATCTTCATCTATAAATAAAATATAATGAGAGATGAAAAGAGGAAGTGCTGAAATACGAGTGTACTGTTTGATATCTCCATAATTCATAGTATAAAAACAAGTCTTTTTTCGCATAATCACCAGTGCAAGATTATCTTGTCCGGTGTGAGACAGCAGTGTGAGACTTTTTTGTCTTACACTGCGTATTACCAGGAACCTATATACTAACGGGATAGACAACTACCGCAAGTCTTGCGATATCTCTTAAGTCGCGGGATTTCGTAAGACAACTTTAATTAATTATATCTCTAAAGCTATCGTATATTTGAGATCAAAACCTTTAAACATCTGTCAAAAAATCATTCAAGATTTGTTTTAGCACGTATTTTACTCCTTATCTTAGTAGTTATTTTGTTTTATGCAAAATCAGCACATGCCCTGATCGATCATATTTCCGAGAAATCGCCGATTTCGGTGTTTGTTTTCGTTATATTTAAATTATATTATTATTATGCTTTAAAATTTATTAATAAATCAATTACAATACATAAAAGGAATAATCAGAAAACATCCTGTTTACCGGGAATAAACGTAAATTGAAAAAAAAAATTGTAGTGTTGTGCATGTTGTTATGGGAAGATGAACATGGTGATGAAGGAGTTGCCTATCCTGTTAGTATATAGGTCCCTGGTATAACTACGCTGCGGACGATAACATTAATATTCCGTCTTCATATAAATAAATTTTAACAATGTAAAAAAATACCACATATATTTAAAATATTTTCATTTAACCATATTAATATTAACTTCTTTTTATTCAAAATATGTCGTATTTTCACTTTTGTAATGGCACTATTTTCAGATCGAAGAAGGATTCTTCTAGAATGGATATGTGTACGCTATCGGATTGATAAGTTTTTTATTCCCAGTTTTATATATCTAATTATTTACCTGGACTGAAGTTCATTTTATCAGTTTACACTAAGTTTAAACCATTTTCAGGTATGCTCTCTCCGATGGTGTATTTAGATTTTTAATTAGTTGGAAAATTAAAAGAATTTATTTTTAGTCCTATGGCGTCGTCATAGACAGATCGTTATTTTGGATAATATAATGCGAGAAAAATATTCATCCATTACATACTCGTGTTGGAATAGTGAAATTCCACCTCGGGACCAAGAGTCTTGGCAATTAAAAAAATTACTGGTGATTTGCAGATTAGGTTGTACATGTGACATATACGGTAAAAGAGAAGGTATGTTGAAGCCAAAAGTGAAGCTTAATATAAAATATATATATATATATATATATATATATATATACCACGGTAAATAAGAATAACAGCTTAATATGTTTACGGTGCAACCGTTAGAGCGAGCGCAAACTCTTCTATTTTTTTAAATTTAGATCGGGCTCGTCAAACTGCACGTGACATTTGGTGCGTCAAGACTCTGACGTAATATGACGTCCTTTGTAAGTTGCAATACCAAGAAAAAACCTGAACAGTGCTAAAAGCTAATGGAGAACGTTTCGATTAGTACTATATATCTTCAATATGTATCCATTAAATCAAGGCCAGTAGATTTTTTTGTCAAACATTTGCCATTATTCTCTCGAGAACATACATGTAGCTAAAACAAGTGATGCATTGCGGGTCCAAATTACTGTGTCAAAACATTCTATCAAATGAATGTGCTTTAGTCCGAATTTTCTATTCAAGAGCTTGTAGTGACGAGCGTCAATTCTCTGCGCTCGCTATAATTTGATAGTTTATAGGTTGGACTTTTTTTAGATAAGCACTCCAATTAATGTTATGTCTATACTTGGGTTACAAAGTTTCCTAACCAAATCTTGAATTCTCTACAATGATAACATGATATTGAATATTAAGTGCTATGAGAATGAATCAGACGATTTTTAAAAATTGTCTTTTATTTGTCCTCACCTGCATCACCAGCGGACGATGAAACTGAAAAAAAAAGATTACAGAAATTATCAAATATTTTTAAAATGAATTCAAATATTTGAAAAAAATTCAACTTATCATAAAAATTGCATAAAACATTTCTTCATTTCATTGAATACATACAATTGATGCTCGCAGCTTATTTTTAAGTTCTCGAACGTAAAGAAAAAAACCCTTCAATTTAAGAAGGAAGGATGAGTTTGATTATTGTTCAACGCATAAGATAATAATACTTTTCAAACATAATATTCCCGTCCAGCCTGCCTCACACCCATCAAAACACGTTCCATTTGTCTTGGAGCATGGTTTACCGTCCTTACAGTGGCCACAGTCGAATGCACAGCTTGGTCCATATTTATAATCTACACAACCTGAAATACAATTAATGTCTGTCAGATACAGAATATGTTATGCTTTTTTTACTTTGATTCAATGTGCAAATATTTCGATCATTGCAATGAATTTCCTAAAATTCACTTTTGTAAGATTGATTGATTGATTGTATATTGTTTAATGTTCCTCTCGAATGTTTTTTATCGACATGGAGACGTTTTTGTGTAAGAAAATTAAAGTATTAATCAACTTATTAGTGCAGTGTGGTGGTTTAAGTAAATTGTTACTACATCCATAAATACAGGAACCATTAAATGCATCACATTCTTGGTTCAGACATTTTTCTGAGCATGGTGCGCAGTTGTCTCCATAATGTTGAAAGTGACACCCTTAAGTAAAAAAATAGCAACAAACAATGAAGAGAGCATGTTCGTTTAATATAAGTATTTGATAAAAAGAATTTCTCACATCATACAAGACAAAAGGGTTGATCAAGCCTTGAAATACGAGCGACGTCCCATAAAATCGTGGACAAAGCGTTTTTCTCGGAAAGTAATGGGCGCACTAAGCTGAAAATTTCAGTAAATGTTTATTTATCATATTTAAGTGCATGATAATTTTTTTTGATAAAATATAGGCAAAAATAAAGATTTTATTATGTTTAACTGTGCACGGGATATTGTCCTACGGCGCACGGTCAAAACACCAAGGTTTTATTAAAGAATACACAAGTTTCATTTCAGAATAAAAGTTTTAAATACACAAGAATTGGATTAAAATTATCCTAATTCAATTCCACAATCAATTTTGTAGTCTTTTTACAAATTTTGAGGCATTTGCTTAATTTTTGACAGTTTCTCGAGCATTCGAAATGGAAAAGTGGTAAACACAACACACGAAAAATGGCGACGTTTTATGACGTTACGGCGCACCGGAGAGCTGTTCAGTTTTAATTCGATGTTGTAATGACACCTCTAGAGACTTAAAATGACCATAGAAGAAAAAAGATTATAAAAATATCACAATATCTGAAGTATACAAATGAAATAGGAGTTTTCTTAGCCAAACTTTTTTGATCGAGTCCCTGGGGAGTACAAAACATACGGACAAACTCCTAATGTAATAGCAAAAGACGCTGTCTCAGTAGACCGCCGATATGAGAGTTTCTATTAATTGAACGATGGTGAGAATATTGTCCGTAACTTACTTATAAATCTTCAGAAGATCGCATGACGGTGCCACTTGGTTCTTCAACTGTTTATGGAGATTAAAGGATGTGTATCAATGAAATTCCTAACTTTAAGTCGGACTCATATAACTTCATTTTCAGCAAAGATAAAACGTGACCCTGTTTTAGACACTTTGACGTTATAAATCCAGGCGCCGTAAGGTGATACAATACATGGCATAAAATCTCATAATTTGTTTATTTATGCATATATTTATCTGAGATTTGCTGTGTATATTACTAAAATATGTACTAAATAATAGTGAAAATTTCAGAACGCAGTGATGTTTATTTTTTACACTAGACAACTTGTCCACGATTTTACGGGACAACCCTCGTATATTAGATCATCAGAAAATGCAAGAGATATTACATTTTTTTTTGTCAAGCAGTCTTCTCATACAGTCTTTTGTTGTCTCATTATTCATATATCTTTTACTGATTCAGTGATATCTAACATGGTATAGCCATCCCATTTTATATATCAGACATTGGAAAAAGGTCCGAAGGATGTAAATTAAGGAAGGATACCTTTGCAACGTTCAGGTAAAGCGATAGTGAGAGTTCAGTCATATTTTATTCAGATGACAAAGAAGTATCAATAGCAAAGTTTTACTATCATGTTGGAATCCACAGATTAATTTTGGCAAATGTGTACAAAATACGAAGATAAATCAAATAAAATACAAATTTGCTACCCTTTACAGAATTGCTTTGCTGTTCAAATCCACTAATTTTAAACATCTCTATCATATTGGAAATTTTACTATCAACGTTGTTTTGCATCGTTACATATAAGTATTTAATTTGTTTTTATTTCATCATCTTTTAAATATTACATACCCATGACCATTACTTCACATATTTCAATAGTAGCATACGAAGGTTCATATCCTGCACAGCCTGTAACGAGTGGAGGGGTCTTGGAATTATATAGTGCTATTCCTTTAATCACTCTGTTGACAGTGACATTCATCACATGGTTTGGACAGGACGATGGATCCTGCTGGAACACTCTATACCCACCAGTAAATGGCGGTATATACGATGGCTCATTAAATACAAACACACTGAAACCAGTATGCCGATTTATGGCTAGGAAAGAAGAGAAAAACTTAAGCATATTTTATTCCCATATTGACTATATTATATCAAAACAAATAGTGTTCAAAATATAAATTTTTTCATGTCTGATAGTGTTTTTTTTTTATCAATACATGTCCCTATTTTACAACTTTTTTATTCCTTCAGTAGCTCAAATTGATAATGAATCTATAAAAGAAACCAAAATGCACACATATGAAACTAAGAGGTTAACAAGATGACATATTTTGTTTGCAACAGAATGTTTTATATTGAACGCCCGTATTCGGATTATTTCAGACATTCTCATATGCGTATTAAAAACTCAGCATTCAATGAAATGATAAGGTTGTAATCGCTAAAAATCTATAGATATTAATTGTATTTTGGTAGACTATCTAGACTTTTACTAGCTATGAATTCGAAATGAATGGAAATACGAATATTATTCAAGCTCAAAATCCTTTAAACAACACAAAATTAGAGCAGACTAGACTTGGATCCCCAGAACATTACAGATGTGATCAGATGTCATTAAGGAGTAAGCATCCCCTGCCAAATGGTCATATCCGCCCTGTGCTCCTTGTCATGATTGGAAAATAACGAAAACATCCGTCGTCAATTCAATGTTTCAGAAATGGTCTTACAAGTTCGAAAAACAGTCAGCATTTGACTCAAAGATTAATTGTATTTGCTAACAGAGTCATTGTGTCGGTCAAAGAACGTACGAATTGAGATATAAATACTTTTTCAAAACTATTTGTAAAGATATTAACAATTTCAACCTATTTTGTTTCAATGTACAAAGTATATTGCGACCAATATCACATGCAAGTTAACACAGACAATTAGCATTTTTCCTCCATTTTTTTATCAATAGGAAATATTAAATTGTTAAATGGATTTTTGCCTTACACATTTCGGTTTTAAACAGAAATTTAAATAGACTGAAAATAATTTGTATTTTCTTATCGTACCATCTGATATGATTCTTTACTATTCTTGTTATGGGTAATTCTAAAATAATTAAATCGAATACTTGTTTGTCTGAGGAAAAGTAGCAAGTAAGCGACATTGGACTTTTGAAGCAAAGGTAATTTCCACCATGCAGTCTTTGATTTGTTAGAACGCGTGAAGCTACAGTAATCTTTTCCATCTTCCTCTAGAGTGTGTCCATCTACTGCTTTATCTGCTGCCGCCCAGTTGTTTTTGTGAACTAAACTTTGAGAAGCTGCTCCCATATACACTGGGTTTTGAGCTAGATTTTCTGAAATGTAGCGGATTAATACGTTATCTATGAGAAAGAGAGAAGTAGGTAGGAGAGAAATAGTATTTATTTGAAATAAACGTATACATGAAGTACGATCCATTTTTAAACGACACAATCTACTGATGGAAAAGTTGATATCATTGCTCGTGCTCTCTGGCTGAAACAACCACAGTAATTTTGTTTTGCATTGAATACGTGCGGTGTAGGCTCTATTCCACGGTAAGTTCAAGGAATACAAGTGAAGATTGCTGTTAGGATAAGGCTGTCCGTAAAACATCACAATGTACTAGCCGTATCTTTTCAATTCTGCATTGAAACATCATAATTATACGTACCAGGTAATACTTTACCACCATAATATATTTTTGTTATATGATTCCATAATTTCCTTCTCTCTGCTCGGCTGAGATCCAACAATGTTAGAAATATACTACGTTATATTAACCTGCACGTGATCTTCCAGGTCAATATAATGAATTATTGCACATCAATATATTAGATTATTGACCTGTTCCATTTTTTCTGTTACAACGTGTTCTTGCTGAAACGTCTTGTTTAATTTTTTGATTAAAGCAACGAAACAGTATTGTTGGAGTTTGCTATCATTTAATCATATAATAAAACAGTTATTGCTGTTTTTGTTAGGTCAATACGATGCTTTAGCCACCTTCGAAGTACAATACCCAGATAGCAAGACTATGTTGGGCCAACATTGGCAAAAGGTTGTATGGTTGGCGGTGGGGAAACAACGTTGGACCAATGTCACCATGCCAACCTTCTCGACCATGACAGAATTCCTAGAAAATACACGCTTAAAGAAAGTGTCTTTTAAAGTTGGTAGTAGTATGTTGGCCCAACGATGGCCCGATGTTTGAAATACACCCATAAAGAATGCGTCTTATCAAGTTGATCGTAGTATGTTGGCCCAACGTTGGTCAAATGTTTGTAATACATACTTAAAAATGTCTTATCAAGTTGGTAGTCGTATGTTAGGCCAACGTTGGCCCAATATTTGTAATACACCCTTAAAGAAAGTGTCTTATAAAATTGTTAGTAGTATGTTGGCCCAACGTTGCCCCATGTTTGTAATACACCTTTTAAGAAAGTGTCTTATCAAATTGTTAGTAGTATGTTGGCCCAATGTTGGTCTGATGTTTATAATAGACCCTTAAAGAAAGTGTCTTATCAAGTTGGTAGTAGTATGTTGACCCGACGTTGGTCCGATGTTAGCACGAGTGTACTTTTGTTTAGGTGTTTCAAGGATGGGATATTTATATTGGGCCAACTCTGGCCCAATTATTATACTGCCAAGTGTCAGTCTTAACTGCTGAGCTTTACGTTGGGACAACGTTGGTTCTAATTAAGTTTTAATTTAGATGCACATTCTGAAATAATTAAAAGGACATTCAATGTCCATGCTTTTAACTGGATGACTGTTTTTGTTTAGATCTGATATTTTCAATATTTTAACTTTGAACTTAAGTGATCACAGCACCAAAGAGCGTTCTATTATATTTTTTGAATTGTGCACACGCATGCTTATCTATTTATTTGAAATAAAACCCTTGAAATAATGAAATTTTTCATGAGCGTTGTATTCATGAGAATTTAGAAAAGACTGAATACAAGTTCTCAGGAACAGGATGTGAATGAAGCCTACATATACATAAATCAAAATGGCACAGCTTTATAATTGAATGGAAACAAAAGTTAGACGTTCGCTAAAGATTGGGGGAGTCGCGTGGATATCAAATTAGACCAAACTGTGGAGTGAGCTGTCAGATTCAATTGCACATAGACTTGCTCATAGACTGAAAATGCAGGGAAAGCAAGAAGAAGAAAAATTTAAATTTGTGGATTATACACTTGCTATAGCTGCATTTAGAAGCGATGTAAGTATATTTATTCTTATTTATTCAGGTAAACTGTTAAAATATATTGATTCGGAATTCATTCTTTTCATGTTTTTGCACACAGGCAATGTAAGTTAAGGTTAAATAACATCTTTCAAGTTGTTTCTATTTAATTCTTAACTGTCAATTACAGACACGATTGCAACAAGGAAATCAAGGTGCACTAATAGTATAATACACTATTCTCTTTATTAAAAGATTTAATGTAAGTAATATTTATTCATAAGTTGGACCAGTAATTGCATTGTTTCTAATATCAAACTATTTTGTATTTTTAGTCAGAGACTGCAAGGAAAACAAATGTTGTGGCGGTAAATAGCAATGAAATCGAAGACCATGCATAAAGAAGTGTATAAAGTACGAGTACGTATGACAAAGATCAAGATGAAGGAAACGGGAGGCGACGAAGGGATGGGAAAAGAGCGGGAATACAACAAAGGGACAGTAATAAAGGAAGTGAGCCCTGATTAAGAACTTTGAATTGATATTTTTTAATAATTTACCTCTATCGTCTATTTTAAGATTTATTTTGTAAATTATGATTGAATTGATGTATATAAAATATTTTTACAGTGAATCATCAGTGCTTACATTGAAAATGTCCATGTATGCATTATGAATGCAGATTGAATTCTGTATTAATTTTTTTAAACAGTCATATAAAATAAGTTTATGTAAAGCATCACTTAACCAATTGAAAATGTTTCTATGTAATACCTACGTTGGCCAAACAATTTGCCATCTGACATTGTAAAAAAGGGCAACATTGGGTCAACCTAACCAACCAGTTGTTAAGGTTGGCTGTTAGTTGGCAAAAACTACAAACTACGTTGGCAAAACAATATGCCATCTGGCATTTCAACAAAGGGCCAACGTTGGGCCAACCTAACCAAACAGTTGTTAAGGTTGGCTGCTAGTTGGCAAACACTAATAACTACGTTGGCCCAACAATATGCCATCTCATATTTCAACAAAGGGCCAACGTTGGGCCAACCTAACAAACCAGTAATTAAGGTTGGTTGGTTGTTGTCATATAATTTTACCTACGTTGGCCCAACAATATGCCAACATGTTGGACCAACGTTGGACCGATGAGCAAAATTACTGTCGGCCAACGTAAGGTTACCAACAATGGGCCAACGTTGGAAAAAAAATTGGGCCAACGTTGGCCCAACTATGTCTTGCTATCTGGGTATTCACTTCCCCTATCGGGTTCAGTAAATATTGTACTCCTCAGGTGTATAAATCATCGTATTGACCTAAAAGCAGCAATAATTGTATATTACTCAAGACACTCCAAACTTGACCTTACAATCTGCGTTCATATTGAGGAATATCTTGTAGCCGAATTTCCTTGAAATGTGCTATTTATCTTATTTTGTATAAATTTTGATGAAGACTAACAAATTATTTTTAATATAGAAATAAGTTAAAATTGTTGTAAAAGAGAAATATAGAAAAAAATGATAGTTGGACTCCAAGACCAAAACTGAGAACAGATTTAAGTCAATATTCTGAATTTGAATGACTAGTGATTTAAAATACATATTAAGTTCTAATTTCTTTGCAGATTTATTTTTAATATTCTAATTGAAACAAATCGTAAAAATTTGTTTTGTTATCAGATTCGATTAAAAGAAATATATTGGCTTGAAATTTTGACTTAAGTCTGTCCTCTTTGGTCTTGGGGCCAGATCTATCTAAACGTAAAACTATAAAAAAAAAAAAAAAATATTAAGAGGACATCAAGGGGATCACTGAAATTTCATAGGTTGGACCAGGTACATGTACTCAGGAGAAGAAAATCTTACAGGTATATTCACTTGTCACACACGCCGTGAACCTTGTGCATTAATAAAAAGAGGAATTTTCCATAGTCAAATCATTGTAATAAATAAAGCCCTACATTTGCTTTCTTTCAAAATATAAACTTTAACGATATTTATATACCGTAAGAATTTTTGCATCCAAAACTGAGTTATTGATTGACTTATGTAACAATCAATTTACAATGATTTTGGTATTGAACTTGTACCATTACGAATTTTGCGCAAAACTTGAAATAAATGTGTTTGCCATGTAAACAAGAAAACAAATCAAAAGACATCACGGCAAATCATTAATTAAAGATCGAAAGGAAAATGTTGAAAGGCTCATTATTTTATATTCTAAATTGCTGATATTTACCTTTGTAAGGATACCGTAGGAAATTTTCGATAACATTGGAGAAAATACTGAGAAATCATTGATCTAAAAAAATAACAACAAACAGAACAATCCGTTGAACAGGGCTTTAACACTCACTCCCGGAAGCATATCTCGGCATAACAGTTTAAAGATTGACTATAAATCATAAGTTTAAACATACGGAAGCTTAACGACAAAATTAAGAGAAGGATTATGTCATGTTCAAAAAAAAAAAAACCGGAGAAAATCATGGACAACTCAATGTGTAAACGATGACATAACAATCTGAATAAAAAATATTAAGGCAGCATTTGAATAAATTTGACTAAATGATGTATTTACTGACTGACAAGGTCATATCTTTTTCAGTTCGCATAGACTAATTTGATTTTAATACTTTTAACGACTACTTGCTATCTCATTTCCATGCTTTGCTTTTGGGTTTTTTTAAATTATGGTAAACAATTATTGCTTGGACTCTGACGCCCACGCAGAAAATATATATGGGAGGCTAAACCAACGCCCTGGGCATACGTCTATGCAAGCATGCACATGAATACCCTATAATAATTTGTCCTATTCGAATTAGAATACGTCATTTATTAGCAAATTTCGCTGTTAAATTTGCATATCGTATTTATATATTTATTGACAGATAAAGATTTCTCTTTTATACACAAACTTTTATATACCAAGTTAACTAAACAATGATTCTATGGTATATATACATATATGTGTATAGATACAGATACAACTTGAATTAAAAACTTCATTCAACGACGAGTTCTAGCTTTTAAAAGATAGAACAAGTCTTCAGCGGCATTGGTTTTGTGCATCAAGGCTCTAAAACAGTTTGATATTTAGCAATCCGGACAAGGTTTGATAAAGTATTTAGCAACTTTTTTTTCATATAGGGGAGGGGTTGGGGCTAAAAAAAAATATGCGTACTACAGAGCTTTGCTACACGTGTACTATCAGATCTATTTTGCCAGTGTTAGATTTCTTACGAATAAATCTCGAATATATAGTAAGTCCCCGCCGTTTTTTATTATATGTATTAAAATAACTATTTTTTTCTAAATTAGTAATTTATAGGCCAATCAGACTAACAATAACAATTTTGCTATGAAAGTTCTATCAATCAAAGTATGCAGATTATTGAAGGAAATTTGAACTAACCTATATGAATATTCAATGAAATTTTTCTATTATCATAAGTTGAATTTCGGTTAGAAACAAATATGCGTATGGTCCATGTACTGTAGACCCTTTTTTTAAAGGACAGCTACTTGTTTTACATGTAAGTTACTTCATATGATATTTACTGATCCTTGATTTGAATCTTTCGACAGCTTTTTTTGTGCACCTGAAAAAAATCTGTCTTTCCGAGTCAAACTTTTAAAATTTCTTATTGAACGTAATTTAGCGAAATGTGTCTTATCTTTTATTCTTGAAATTAGTTATCAATTTCACTAGCTATTTCATTCACGAAAATGTTTACGCTACGTATTCGCCTTCTAGTGAAAAAACGACGTCAAATTTAAAGCATAATGCCTTATCAAATAGGTGGCCGATCGATTCGAGTTCCAAATAAAATAAATTCGGAGTTAAAATGGTTGAAAATTACGAAAGCAAAACAACCCTATAAGCAGAAATTTATACAACATAAGGCCTTTTTAGTAATAAAGAACACATTATATCATTTAAATTATTTCATTGTGATTAACTTAATTTGATATCGTGCAAAATTAAGATTACCTAGACCAACTGCTATACAAACAAATGCCAGTCCACTATATATAATTTCTAGTAAAGCATTCATCTTCTCCGATTTACCGTGTTGCGTATTTTAATGTTCAGTTGAAGTATTTAATACATGTACTAGATTTTATGTTCATATTACTTCCTTTTTGTTATCTCTATATTTGTCATTTTTTAAAACATGCATAAAAATAATTTTAAAAAGTAAAACTACTGTAACAACTTCCTTATTTATCTGAATAGTGATTATTGTTTTAACAACTATAACATCTGCATATTAAATCATATATCAAAACCAATAAAATGACGTCTTAGTCATGAATTATTTTGAAAAAAATGACCTTTGATTAAAAGAACTTCTTGGTGTCTGTTTTTTCAAATATATCCTCTTAAAAGAATTTTCCTCAGTATATGTTTCTTTTTCGATTTCTTTAATTGGTGCAAATATATTATTTTTTGTCATTTTTTTTAATTTTTCTGTCATAACATGTGATGTTTTTCTTTTATACAAACATTACAACACTGCAACATAATGGAAAAAAAGCAAATGTTTATTCATGATAGACAAAAACAATTTTGAAAAAAATGAAAATCTTGTTTATTACTTTTCTTCACTGACTGAGAAACGTTTTCAAAAAATCCAACTTTTGCTTTATCATGTCCGTTTTCTAATGAGAGAGAGAGAGAGAGAGAGAGAGAGAGAGAGAGAGAGAGAGAGAAGGGGGAAAGCTAAATAGTTCTATAATATTTGAGGTACAACACCCCCACCCAAAAAATATTGCTATTTGTTACAAGATTAAATCTTCTGTGTGTATGCACATTTTGGACAAAATTATTAGAGTAGTTTTTGGACAAGAAATTCCAAAAGTACCCCCCCCCCCATTTAATTTTAAATCAATGAAGTACTTAAACCTTGATTTTCAAAAAAGCCAGGTTAGCTATAACTGTCAATTTTCATCAGCTTATTCTTGTAATAATCTAACACAAAAATATAGTCATCTTTTTGAAATACACATCATCAAGACCTTAAAATGAAAAACAATGATTAATCCAAGCCTTGAAAATAGTGTATTTTTCAATTTCAATTTTTTTTGTGAAAAAACCTGTCGTGTAATTTATGTAAAAACTTTCTTTTAATAGTTTGTAGTAAAAATAATCTTCATAATTTTTTGTATAATTTTTGTACCACCAGTTTTGATTTGATAACAGAAAATTATCCCCTCCCCCTTTCTCCATCAATCACTTTCCCGCGCGTCTTTCAGATGTGGGTCAAATGCAATGCTATGAATCTACAAATACACGTTTGAAAAAATCAAATTGGAATATTGCTTTTACTTTAAAAATATACTAACTTACATATATCAGAGTTCTCAAATGTAAAGCGTATTTGAATGTAGATTTTAGGCAGTTATTAATGCCCCCACCCCCATCCCTTCCTTTTTTGTGTCGCAGACCATAAGCGTTTGAATAACTGTCGGTTACAATGCAGATATATTTCGTCATATGAATCCCTGAAATACACACTAGTTTGTTAATTCATGAATGCAGAATACATGTTGACCACTGGTTTTTTTTATGTATCAAGAAAAATTTTCTAAAGGATTTTATGTCCAAGTTTTTAGTCCTTATATGTATGTGTTATGCATTCAATTTCATATAATACCTTGATACTGTTTAACTTCATTATCTTGCATACCTTGATACAAATACGACTTACGTTGAACGTCGACTTACGTTGATCTTCTTGAATTTTCATTGTATTACTATGTGCCTGGGATTGTCCTTA